TTCCCCGCTCTCTGACAAGTGTCGTATGAGCGTACAAAGTCTTCGATATCCTTCAAACATTTTAGCCAATAAAACTCAAGGGAAACTCTAGCCTTGGTCTTCTTTATGTCCAGATGCCTTGCCCACGCATTTTCATGTGCCAGTTCCAATAGTTGGCGACGATACTTTTGTGGCACCAAGAGCTGCTCATACTTGCTACCTTGCAAATTTGTGTAGCTCTGATACAGGAGCCCTGCCTTCTCAAAAAAGGAAACATTCTTTTTCTTTTTTCCCAAGTTTACGCTTTCCATTAGCGTTTTAATCGAGAGGTCCTCACGCTGCTCTCGAATGAGCGTTTCTCGGATCAACCCTCGACAGCTCATCTCTCATAATCATATGGTGGTTTTGGGACGTTAACTCCACAAATCTAATCCCTCGACAGCTCACTCCAACTTTCCGCTACAGGCGAGAGCGTTGCACCCCTCTCGCTCTGACTCAATGGCGCTATGTCGTCTCCTCCGCCGACAGAGACCGCGCCAGTCGCTTCGGCGACGGGCCACTCGAGTGATAGCTCAAATGACTCACACGGAGAATTTCCTGTCTGAGGTTCTGTCGACTCGCCACCAAGGTCACGAATATCAGCAGCTTTTTCAGGTGGTATTTGACCGCATTGAACAAGATCAAGTTCCTGCAATAGTTTCCGCGCTTGCGATCGTGTGAGGGCCATGTATGCTAAGTTGGAGAAGAACGATTTACCCTGCTTTTTGAGAAGCTGCTCTGAGTTATCAGAAAAAAAGATAAGAAAATGATCTGGAAGCGTGGCAGACACAGCCGCTTCAGTGCAAAGCTTACCGAACGGGCCTTCAATGACAACCGTAGTGATTGTTAAGCAAGCACACTGCTCCTCGGTGAATTGTCTGATCCACGCGCATTCTCCTGTAAAGTGGTCCCGAGACACCAACAAGGATGAACAACATCCATGGTTGCCGCTGAATCTTGAAGTACTCAGCACGTTTTACAATTCACATTAATTTCTTGGAGATACGGCCCTAACAACCGCATTTTCTTTTCAGATTCTCGGATTGTTGCGAAAACAAACTTTTGTTTACAGTTTATCGTGATGTGCCCTTCCTTTTTGCAATTGTAGCAGATTAGCGGCTTCTGTGATTCAAACACCCATGTGGTATCAATGCGATGTTTTGGAACCTCACTCGATTTCTCCACTTCCGTTTGCCCTTCCCCTACAGTGTCCTTCGTAAGAGACGGGTCCTTCCTGAAATTGCGGTGCGGAGTGCGTTTCAGCTGATCATTTTCTTTGAAAAGCCCTCTTTTCTTTCATCCTTTTGAATGCGCACTGCCCTACCATGCAACTTTCGGCAAGTGTAATACTCCTCAGCTAACTCTGCTGCCTTGTTTAGTTGTACTTCGCCAAGCTTGTCCTGCAGCCAAAGCTTGACATCCTCCTCATGCAGCGGTAGAATTGCTCCAATGCAATGCATTCTACCACTTTATCGTGATCGTCATAAACACCTTCGCCCTTGAGCCATTCAATTAAATCGGCTTTAAGACGAAACGCGAAGTCAATGTGCGACTCATTCCCCTTATTAGGCATACAGGAACCTTTGCCTGAAAGCCTCGGGTGACAACTTATAACGTCTCAAGAGCACTTCCTTAATATCGTCATAGCTCTCAAACGCTTCCCTCGACAAGCACATTATCACGTCAGGACACTTCGCCGGGAAAAAGAGCTAACAGGTCCTGCACCCAAAGAGACCACTCCAAAGCATTTCGCTTACAGGCATGTTCAAACCTGACGAGATACTTCGCCATGTCCTCGCCTACTACGAACGGTGGCAGTTGGTCGCGAGTTCTCCGAGCGCTGACCTTAACTGTCGCAGAAGCTACGCTAGGCGCCTGCGAACACTGTAGGATTGCCTATTCTATTCGTTTCAACTCAAGGCGCTCCTGTCTCTCGGCGGTCTCGCCTTTCATCTTCTTCATGTTCACGAACTTCTCGTTTTTCAGCTTCTACGCGGCGTGCTTTGATATCCGCCCAAGCCTCATGGACTTCCTCAGTTGTAACTCCTGCATCCCTCATGATCTCAAGGATCGCTTGCTTTTGTTTCGCATGGCCCAATGTAAGGCCAAGTTCCTCACAAATTTCGATGAGTTCCTTCATCTTAAGGTTTTCCATCGTTCACCTTAGCTTCTTGCTGTTTGCCCCTGTTAAGAATGCACTTGCCATATCCACAATAAGTCCTCTAGCAAGACGCGCAAGCAATTTTCAACCCTGCCGTGTTTACACCCTCCGCATTAACTTTGGTTCCAAAGCTAAAAAAGTTGAAACGATCAAAGCTCACTCTAATGCTTTACACAGCCCTTCTCTAAACTACTATAACCTGTGCCAGAGTAGTTGGTGAACTGAGGGGAAAAACATGAGGCACTCACCGCATCGATGTCGTTGACCCCGGCCAATTCCACAGCTGCCATCTACTGTTACGAAGGCGCACCGCCGACGAGGTTACGAAGGGCGCCACGGAACTCGCCGTTTACAAGGACACCGGCCGCGCCAACAGCAAAAGGGCTCGAAGCAACGAGATGTCTTCTCTCGCACGCACCCGTCGGCTTCTATTTGCCGCATAGGTCAACTGCTGGCGAGGCACCGCTTGGCTTTTTTTATAGGCACCGGGTGGATTTTTTGCGTCCCGAACGTCCAACGCTAGAAGCAACGAGATGTCTTCTCTCGCACGCACCCATCGGCTTCTATCTGCCGCATAGGTCAACTGCTGGCGACGCACCGCTTGGCTTTTTTTATAGGCACCGGGTGGATCTTTTGCGTCACGAACGTCCAACCAGAAGCGCCGCTAGCCGTGATGTCAGAACCCTTCAATAGGGACCCGCCACTGGACTGCGTTGTGATCATCAAATCCAGAGCCGCTGCGCATGGTTGCACCCAAGGACGCGTGGCGTTGCCTCGCGTTGCGTAAGACTCGCCAGACTGGAAGGCGCCGATTGCTACATCGGGCTCGTGGACTGAGGGAGCTCACTGTGTGTTGCGTAAGACAGGCCGGCGCCGCCGCTTGAAGAAGTCGTCAAGTTGATCGCGTCAGGCGGACTTGATCGCTGGCTTTGACACAGATTGCCTTTGCAGAAGCATTGACGTTCGGTGTGGACTCCCAGGCGTAACACCTGGCAGAACACCTGACCCAGACTCGCAAATGGGCTGGCAAAGACATACTACCATATTTTTACTGTAAGCTAGAGCTATTTGTTGCACATCACCTTGTTTACTGGGGCAATGGAATCCTCATCATCATCAGCCTGACTACGTCCACTGCAGGACAAAGGCTTCTCCCATGTTCCGCCAGTTAACTCGGTCCTGTGCTTGCTTCTGCCAATTTATATGCGCAAACTTCTTAATCTCATCTGCCCACATAATCTTCTGTCTCCCCCTAACCCGCTTGCCTTCTCTGAGAATCCAGTTAGTTACCCTTAATGACCAGCGGTTATCCTGTCTACGCACTACATGCCCGGCCCATGTCCATTTCCTCTTCTTGATTTCAACTATGATGTCCTTAACCCCCGTTTGTTCCCTAATCCACTCTGCCCTCTTCTTGTCTCTTAAGGTTACATTTACCATTTTCCTTTCCATCGCTCGCTGCGCAGAATCATAATACCAGCCGAAGCAAGACTGCAAGTGCTGCAGCTTTTACATGAGACTCACCAGGGTTCGCCAGCAATGAAATCTGACACGCGCTCTTTGTTTTTGGTGGCCAGGCCTAGACAAAGATATTGAAGAGGTGTCTGCTCAGTGCCAAAATTCTGTTCAAAATTTATTGCTGCTAACCGCGGCACCCATTGTCAAGTGGCCTGAAACCAGTGAAAGGTGGTTTCGCATTCACATTGACTACGTGGGGCCGATCTATGGCAAAATATTACTCGTCGTAGTTGACGCCCACACGAAATGGCTCGAAGTCGCACCTCTGGTACGTACTTCAAGAGAAAGCACCATTTACTGTTTGCGTGGTGTTTTCACCAGATTTGGGATAACGTACAATCATTTCTGGCAATGGGACTCGGTTTTCCAGCCTTGATTTTGAGGAATTCGTGTCAAACAACAACATAGTGCGCCTCTGAAGTGCTCCGTACCGTCCCCCGTTTAATGGTGCAGCGGAGAGGACAGTGTGAACTATCAAACATGGTCTTCGAAAAATGAGGAGAGGGAAGTTGGAAAAAAACTGTGATATGCTTGCTGTTTAACTATCAGAGGACTCCTGCAAAGGGCGATAAATCCTCAGCAGAATTACTCTTAGGTTACCAAATACGCTCACAGTCGAACACATGTTTTCCTCCAGCTCTTAGAGGATAAAAAAAACTTCAAGAGGAATGGCTGCCACTACCAGGAAGTGACATATACGTCCGCTTATGGTGCAGGGAGCGAAGTGGATGTCTGATAATGTGAAGGCTGACATCTGGAGCGATAATGGGGATTGTGGACACTATGGACAGGGTCGTTCAACAGCATGTAGATCAGTTTCGCCCATGACAGGACTCACGAAGTGATCAGGCACCTATTATACTGCCATAAGTCGCAACGAGCAAGACCAAACAACAGAATGATCCCCTCAGGAAGTGGTAAGCACGGTGACAGGCACTTATTATGCTAATGATGTCGATTCTGCACATCGTGCATCTCCAAAGATTGCGGCGGTACTGATGAATACCGGTGTCGCCCAACAAGCACACAGGCATTCTATAAAAAACGCAAGCCAGTACAGCGCTTTTAATTCTAAGGGAGAAGAAATGTTGTGTCTTCACGTGTTCTTGGTGTGTATGTGCGCGCGCACCTAGACGTCTCAGCTGGTTGGCTGCACCGCATCAGCTACTACCACGTGTGCATCGTTATCAGGCTACATGGCAATGCCTATAAATATGTCCTACACATTTCAATAAACATTCTTTTCATTCTGCTGACTACATTGATGCATCGCTGGTCCAGCGCAACTATGCGCATATCTTGACTATACTACATTTGAGCCACAGATGCTAGCTGCAGAGAGCGAAAGTATCTTTCATTTTTTCATTGAGTGTATATACAAAACATGCTTTATGAAGATCTTTATTCAAAACACTGCCATTTTCTGCTTGAGGGCTTGGATTCATCACGAACCAAAGAATCTGAAAAACAAGTCTTTGATAAGTATGCATGGCTTCTGTCTTTACAAAGCACACTCACAGCAACATAAGGAACATTACTAGGATGTTCCAGAGGCCGATCAATGCCCTGAAGTAACGAATGGCGCCAAGGAAATCACAAATCTTCGTACCTGGAAAGAGATGAACTTGATGCAACGTGCTGTCCCCAACTTGAGCAAATCAATCTTACCAGCTGTCACCTCCAGTTTCTCTACAAATCCATCATCCCGGCTAGTGGGCCTGCATGCAAAAGTAAGAAAAGGTTACAGCTCAAACAAGAAAACTTTCCGAATGAGAAGCCGTACACAATGTGCTGTGCCTACTATAAAGAATCTGTACACATGCAAATCTGTGTGCAAACCTGTAACTGTTTACTTGCTAATAATGCATGTCATATATATAGACACATACAGAGTGTTCTTTTTTTAAGAAATAAAGATTTTTTACAATTTAGACTACGTATGTACTTGTCGTCTTCGAAGCCAATTTCTAGGCTGAGGTGGAAAGATTTTGCCACTATTTGATCACTGAGGAATGATTAATTGGATTTAAAAAATGTTTGAACAAACTTTTTATTATCAATTTTAGGGTGGTTTATATGGCGAAGTTGTTCTACGTTATAAATTAAGGCGAGCCTAGTTTTTAAAAATGTTATGCATGGTTTCAGAGATTTATCGTCTAATTTCTAGACAGTGCTGCAGGAGAAACCAAAATTACGCACCGAGTGCGCCGGAAGGGCGGTCCCTGTGATGCGTCACCCGTGAACTTCCCTTTTACAGAATCGCAGCAAGACTAATCTGCCTCGGTTTTGCATGCATTTGTATTCTCACACTTCGCGCATCGTATAGACGCCCTGGAGAAACGCCAGTAAACATTGCGAGTATGATACATCAAAGGGGTTCATCCTAATACTCGAGCCTGGCACCTATCAGTCGGAAGTTAAAATGACAAAGAATCAGATAACCACTGCACATCATGTGCGAAGAACCACTGGTCAGCATGGTCTACTAGCATGCATAGTGTTCTCTGCACAGCGAGGTTTTTGCATGATGTGCCTTCATTCGAATTACGTAAAGAGAAGCTCAACCTTCTCTCCTCTCCAGCATTCCTATTTTTTTTTATTTCCACTCCCTAGCGTGTTGTAATTAAGAGGATCTCCATGGAAGAAACAGTTAAAACAACGCACTTTTTCATTTCCTCTTTCCTAAAAACTGTTCCGCTGCGGAACGTCTCGCGGGAAGACGCCACATTCAAGATCTAGTATGATCCAATACTGGATGAGATAACGCTTAGAAGTACCTTTTCAGTTTCGGAACTCCATGCTTCGCCTTCATGGAGCAGGCGGCAGGATACAGTTCCCGCCACCGTGGCGCTGAGGTACAACTTTTGAGGGTCGCCTGCTACAGCTAGGCGCGATGCATCCGATGAGCAGTGTTTATGCAAGAATTTCATGTTAAGAGCGCCGAACCGCAACTTTGTGATTAAGGCACAAGAAGTATAACGTCAGGCCTAAATGCGTGTGCAGCATCTTTTTGGGTCCTTGGTAAAAATAAAAGCTCACATAAGCGTAGTGCTGGACGAAAATTTCTCGATTGTAGAGCCGTTTTGTCGTCCTGCAACTTCTTGTTCTGCCAGGTAGTAGAAACAAAGTTTGGAGCTCAATTGTATTAGCCATGTTTCAACGAAAGCTCGGTGAAACCTGTAACTCATCTAGTTCCAGCTTAGTTGTTTAAAAGTTGCTTTCGAGAATCTTAGCATAATAATCTTCGACGCTGTGCACACTAATTTTGTGCAGCAATAAGCACCTCGGAAGGCCGTACCCTAAAGGAAGTTGAAACCGAGCCATAGCTGTAAAGTATCAGTCATGTTTCAAATCCCACTGAAATAACGCTATTTCTCTGTTCATCTGGCATAAACCGGTGCACTTTCTTCTGCTGAAGTATTCAGATTTATGGATGTCTATCAGTGGATAATACTTGTGATTATTAAAAAAATGCAAATTTTGTAAAAATAGGAAAACATCAGAGCATTTACACAAGAACACTTGTCATGATCACACACTAGCCATGAGCATTCGTATTTCAAACAAGCGCACAGCTGAAATCCTGTAACGATTCGGGCTTGTGGGCAGCAAACAACGCATAAGCCAATCTGTTGTGACTTTCCTTCTTGTTGCATGATGAATGTACAATGAATGGACACTTTCTGCACTTCGGGTAAATTTTCAAATAGATGATTGAGAATCGCTGAGAATGCAGTTTTAATTTTTTTTTCAATCAGCCGGCGTATCTTGAAGGGCCAGTAAACAGGCTCTCACTTTTTTTACACCTCCCATACAAGCTCGGCAATTCATAAATTAGACTGCAGCGATCACGTTTTCTGAATATTATAGCGCCTCGCACAGTGCAGAGCCTCTATTTTGAAAAACCAATCCCGCGCATCCTTCCTATGCCTGACCGACCCCCTTGCACGCACAGTGACATCAACTCGGCAATCGGCGACGTGACGTAGCACGCAGCTTGCCGATTGGTCTAAATCAGGTGTGTAAAAACAGTACTGAAGTCAACATCAGTTCCTGTTCCCACCCAACGACTACGAAACTGCCCCTTGTTTCTTGGCACTGCGGTGAAAGAACCAGTCTCGCAGTTGTTATGTGCACGTGTACATTCCTCACTCAACTACAGTGCCTGTGTGCACGTACAAATGTACTTCGCTCTTGACATGAGCAACATGAATAAAAGCATTGCTCTGTCGTTGGCTGCAAGTCGAGCGGCTAGGCAGTAAAGAAGCATCGGCACCAGGTGCCTCATGATCAGGCCCTGCGCGCTGAATGGCTGAAGCGAATTGGCCATCCAGCGACGTACGCCGAGGACCTGATCGTTTGTGGTCGACACTTCGCACCCGACGCTTACACGGTTTACCAGTGGCTGGTGCGGCAAACTATAAACAAACAACCACGCTTCGCAGCTAGCGGAAGTGCGTTGCGACTGATTGAGTTCGCCGATGACGTCAATCGCTGACGTGGTGTCACGTTGCTTAAGTGGGCGGAGTCACTACTATGGGCTACGCCTTCCCATTCATGGAAGGAAGAAGGGGGTGACGCCTACGAAAATTTGAAACCAGCTTAGACCGATGGTCTAACCCCTGTAACTTCTTTAATATAGCACGTATTTGCAAAAATTTTGCGGCAGCATGTTTGCAAAAAAAAAAAAACTGCACATATATCTCTTTTTTAAATTTTTTGACCTCAGGGTTGCTACTGGCACTTTATAAGCTTCCTCCATTCTCGAGTGGCAGTGGCACAGATCAAGCATTTCCTTAATTTGCTGGCTGCAATCTGCACCTTGTTTTTGGTTGTTTTTGTCATTCTTTTTTATGTTCACTCTAAAATGACACAAGACACACATACCTCTATTAGCACCAGTCATGCCTACACAGTCCTAGTAATAAATATTTCTTAGCAACACAATTTCTCCTTTTGACGTGCCAGTAGATGTAATCTTTGAATTCTGCATTACAGAAGATTATCGCTGGATGTTTTTACGTCTCGTCAGAGCCACCAAAATCTAGTAACAGGGAAGTTGAAGCACACTTATTTCCAATAGCTCATAAAAACTGGAGTTCTCCGAAGGAGCGAGTACCTGTGGCCGGGATTCCTCTGGCAGATCACAAGGCAGCAGCGGTTAGTTATTGTATAGTTACCTTTTCTTTTGTGGCTTGATGACAAGTCTAGAAAACAGATTGAAGATGGAGCTCGGAGGTGAGGAAGAAGAAGTGGTCAGGGGCACGCTCTTTATATATTTTTTATTCTTGTTCTGTCAACAATAAACCGAAGAGGTATCAGTTCTGTAGTCTCACTGGTCCTTCTGAAACATGGTGCCGTGACCAGAATATCTGAGGACTGACGCAAAGACTTCAACCCCATTCGCAACAACGGGTTGAAGAATGAAGCAGCAGCGTCTGACTCAAGGACGAACCGTTGAGGGAAGGACCACGACCGATGACTGTTGGCGACGCACATAAACAGGCAAGAGCTCTTTCAACACGTTTTAAGCATGAATAAAGAGGTCCTATCGAAGAAGCGGAAGATGCTTCGAGCAAATGTGACAACGCTTACGAGCGAAATTGATAAGATAGAAGAAGACGCTGATAGAGCGCAACTTATGACGCTTCTAAACCAGATGAAGAGTGCGTTACAGACGCTAAGACCATTTAACGAACAGATTGAACCGTTCATTGAAGAAGACGACGCGGAGGGAGAATTTGAAAGAGTTTTGCATTACGAGATAAAGATCGTTGCTGCAACGACAAAAATAGAGGAGCAATTACGCGAGTTAGAACAAACGACGCAACTGACTACGAGAATAGTCACAGAACAGGCAAACTTAGTGCAAGGTACTAACCAAACCTCGGAGACGCAAGAGCTTGTTAAGTTGCCACGACTTGAGATGATCAAGTTTGGTGAAAAAAAAAAAAATAACAGCATGGCCAAGGTTTTGGCATCAGTTCGAGACATTGGTGCATAACCGAGTGAACATGCCGAAGAATTAAAAATTGAATTACCTTCTGGCGTCTCTGAGCGGGCAGGCTGCGTCCCTCATAGAAGGTTTGCAGTTTTCTGATCAGAATTACGAGCATGCAGTCGCTCTTCTGAGAGAAACCTTCGGACGACAAGATAATTTAAGAGAGACCTACATAAAAGAGCTTGCAAACGTGGAAGCAGTGAAGAGTCCTAAAGATGTAGATGGGTTGAAGAAACTCTTCCAAAAGTTGCAAGTGAACACACGAGCATTGAAGTCGTTAGGAGTGGAAATGGATATTTATGCCACAGTGATAGCTCCTGTTGTAAAATCTGCACTACCGGTGGATATGAGGGTTGAGATGAAGATGAAAGAGATAGAGAAAGGTGACAACAGACTTGTAACTACGGGATCAGACTGACCGTCAAGAGACAGCACGAGCAGTTTGAAAAAAATTATGGAGTTTTTAAAGGTATATATATGCAGCAGAGAAGAACATCTCCTTCTTGTATATTTGTGTGACCCTCTATTTTTCTGCTGGTACACTTCAGCTCCCTCAGGTACTCCTTCTTTCATCTGGTCTACCATGTTATCATTGCTTGTTTTCTTGTACTCTAGTAATTCAGCAAACTGTATTCTCCGAGTCTGTTTTCTTCCTGCGTGTTTATTGCTTGCCTGCCTCATATAACGTCCGCCGGTGTGATGGGTTGTGGCTCGTTA